AATAAAAATTACTAATACCATTACTTTGCTTTAATTTGTTTTTATTTATTTGTTGCTTTCCGGAAAAAATATGTAATTTTTTGGCGATTTATGTTGTAGTTTGCTTGTAAAAAATACTAAACTAAATTTGGATGTACTGTTAAAAATTAAGAATATGGAGTTGAAGAGTCGATGTTACTACATACACATTGTTGATAAGCGGTTTTGTACTTTAAACGACGATGTATGTATGTATGTAATTTGTTGTCTTAACAGTTTGTTTGCCAATTCCGACGTTGTTGTTTATTGTCAATTACATCGTCGGAATCACATGCAACTTGGCTTTTCACATGCATCTGCTTACGCAAATCAAAACAAAACGCGATATTTAGCACACTAAAAATAAAAGGAATACCTTTTTGTGTCTTTTCGTTTATTTACATTTTTGTTCTTCTCAATCACGCATGTAAAAGATTTTTTTGAACGACTTTTGATGAACGAGCTAGTTTTTATATTTTACTTTTCGAAAATAAAGTGAAAAGATATGGCTGTTGTCCAAATATTGATACAACTTTTCATATATTTACATACATACCTACATATGTACATACATGGTGTTCCATATAGTGGGTTCTTAAAAAAAAAAATTACCGAAATCTTTTCTGTTAGGTATATTATTATTGGTTTGCTTCGGCTGGCTTCGCAGTAGCGCATCCTGTTAACCCAGTTTTCCAAGACCTTGGAGACAGTTTCTGGCCATGTCTCACCAATGCCTTTAAGGACCTGAATCATTAATGGATTGTTCGGATGACTTCGGTCCTTCAGAGCACCGCACAAAAAAGTCTACCGGCGTCAAATCCAAACTCCGAGGAGGCCAATTTACATCACCGAGAGGACTGATAACACGACTACTGGCATAACGCGCCATCCCCAAACAATTTTCAGAAATAACATTATCAAGATTTTTACAAATGATGAACATTTAAGGCCGACTAGTGGTATATCGTCACCTGAAATTCTATGCATTTCATCGAGTTAAATTTCCTACATCGTTTTATGCATAAAAAATGTATGAGTTACGACCTTTTGAATTTCAGTAACGATGTTGGTTACCGTATTAAGTAATGAACGTTACTCTGCAAAGTACAAAAATATTTAGTAAAATTTCTCATATGGGTATTTTCTGGAAAGTGCAAACCAAGAGCAAAACAAAAAAATAGGACTGGACAAAGTTTATTGATACCAATCGATAACTATATATTTTGTCTTTCATCCTCCAAAATATTGGACTAATCGGTCCATTCCACTTCAAGATATTTGCGTCTTCCAACTACACTTTCAAAAAATTTTTCGGAGACACCATACCTTATAGCCTATATAGATAGCCTTCATAATTTTGGTACGCGATTAAAAAGAATTGGAACTCTATTCTAAAATTTAGTATAGCTTATGTTCCGTAAGTCTTACAACAAAAACAACGTAAAAATATATTAGGAACCGTCTATATTTTGCTTTTGGAAAGGTAATAATGTCAATTGACTTTATTTCACACCAGTATACAAATTAGTGTTAATGTACCTTATTTCCGTTGATCATATTACCTGTCACCCACTAGCTATTCAGACCTTAAGTGCTTTGTATTATTTACAATAAAACCTCATACTTACCTTAAAAACTTCATTTGGTACTGATGATGTTTAAATGGCTTTAAACTATCACGAAGTAGGGAAATTCGCTTTTTGGGACTCTTTGTAAATTCCACTAATTTTTCTCGCATTCGTTCGCATTGTTGAATAATATTGAATAACGCTTCTCTTGTCATCCCTATTGATGACCGCATATTATATCCTGAGAACAAAGAAAATCTTGCTTATGTTAGTTTCGAAAGTTTCAAAAACAAATATCAGTTTTTTTATTGCTTATTTTTCAAATAACGATTTAAAAGAGGGCCGGGAAGAGGCGGTAGATTTTTTACAGATATGTTAAGTAAAATGTAGAATATGCTGATATATAAAACTTAGCTTAGCTCGGCTTAACTCACACTTATAATAACCATGAAAAATAAAATATCAATATAAAATCGCCCGAAAAAATACTTTTGAATGTGAATCAAGATTAAACGATCCAAACAATTTATTTTTTTTTTTAAATAATATGAGAGCTTTCGGAATTTTGCACTTAACATAACTGCTTTGTAAAGAAATAAGCACGACGAAAGAATTTCATAATTTCAAAAACTAAAATTCGACTATCATATATATCGAGATATAACCCCATACCAAAAAATACTCAGGTAAACTTTATCATGAATTCCGCAATTTGGACTTTTGGCCAGCTTTTAGAGTCAAATATCCCTATGTGCGACGGCAATAGTTATTTAAGTTATGATCAAATATTTATGCATACAGTAGTGGAAAAATAAATAGGGGCACGACATTTTAACACATTTTTCCTATTTTTTTTGTAATTGATTTAATATTTATTATCTTTTTATAACATTATCTAACAAAAAAAAAAACATTTAAGTTCATATTCCAAACTTTGTGCAAAAATTATAAAAATTCTGGAAATTTTCATCTAAATTTTTAACTTTTTAATCGGAGTTTTTTGAATTTTTTTAAGTATGCAGTTTTATCGCCCATTAAATTTCAGTGGAATAAAGTGCAAGTTTGAAGTTCCTTAAAAATCCCGTTGATTTTTGATAGTTTTTATTCTGAATGTATTAGCACTATTTCCATACACAATTTGTATGGAGGAAAATGCGTTAAAAAATGCCAAAAATCAACGCCATTTTTAGCAACTTAAAACTAACACTTCATTCTACTGAAATTTAATGGGCTATAAAACTGCATACTCAAAAAAATCTGATTAAAAAGTTGAAAATTTAGATGCAATTTTGCAGATTTTTTATAATTTTTGCACAAAGTTTGAAATATAAATTTAAATAGATGTGTTAGATAATGAGCTATACTTTTATTAAAAATAATAAATACAAAATAAATAAAAGAAAAATAGGGAAAACTTGTTAAAATGTCGTGTCCTTATTTATGATTCCACCACTGTACATATTTTCACTTTTAACTTATGTACTATATTTTACTTATATTATCTTTTGCTTAATTATTATTTTTGTCAACAGGCAGCAGCACCGCTTGTGTGCTCGTGCTGAATCGAGAGAATAGCACCGTCTATACCGCTAATATCGGCGATAGCGGTTTTATGGTTGTTCGAAAGGGTGAAATCATCCACAAGTCCGAAGAACAGCAACATTACTTCAATACACCATTTCAGTTATCGCTACCGCCCCCGGGACATGGCCATAATGTGCTAAGCGACAGTCCGGATTCGGCGGATACTCTTAGCTTTTCCGTGAAAGAAGGCGACGTTATATTGGTGGCCACAGATGGCGTCTTTGATAATGTCCCCGAGCGTTTGTTGCTTGATGTACTCAAAGAGGTAAGTGAAATATATATGTATGTTCTTATGGAGGAATATGCTTTCTGCTTAAATGGGATTACATACATACTTACATATGCATTTGTTAAGAGCGTGTCAGCGAGAAATTTCAGAAACCAGTCGCATGAGTAGTCACATCTTGCATGCAAATTGTCTTTCGAAAGAGGTTTTTTATTTCCGAAAGGCCAATTGCAGATTGGTAGTGCAGCACGAGCAAGTTGAAATATATTTTCGAAATCGATTTGCGCTCTCTCAATTGCAGTCACATCTTG